GACTGCGCAGTTTCGCGTCATTCGGCTAGAAAGAAGGGGCGTTCGAGCGATCAACGAACGACAAGCTGAGCAACAGATGACTTAAACGGATCTGCCGCGGTTTTTGCCACGAAACGGTGACACACGAGGAGGAGTTTTTGCTTTTTCTCGCGATCGTGCGAACGAGGAGGGTTCAACGAGTCCATCGCGTTTCCACGAGGGAAACACGAGTGGAAACCACGAGTCATTTTTGTTGCCCTGCTCTGGCCTTCGACCCCTTTCTGGAATATTCAAAAGGGGTCGGCGAAGGCTGTCGTTTCCGGGCAATCGAAAAAAACGTGGAGGAGGATAGAATTGCTCAAGACTTTGGGAACGTGACCTTTGAATACTTAACCTCGATGAAATATCTCGATCCATAGGAAGGGAGAGTCCAAGTTGTGCGATACTTTCGAAATTGTGCGGTCGTAAATTCGGTTGGGATGGAAGTTGGATTGCGTTTAAATGTTTTGGGGAGATGGATTTTTTAAATGGATTATTAAAAAAAAAATAAGGATCGAGAGTTATTGTTTAGCAGTAGAATATTTATGTACGAGGCGTGTTCTTAAAATAAGATTCATTTGCAAATAAACGTGCAAGGCATAAATGATTTTTCAATTAAAAAAATATTTATATTACTTTTTCACGTATCCCAATGGTAAAGAAATCTGCCATTAAAGCGTTACACCACTATGCGCTCGTGTATATTGTTCTTTGGCCTCTTCGATCATCGAGAGAAACATTGAAAAATTAAACAGATAATTCTGATATTGTGAGTCGGTAATTTTTTTTTCTTTTTCGAATTTTCGCATTAAATCCTTTTGTTAAATCAATTGTCATTTTTAAATTGATTAGTCGTTATGAATATTTTCGCTTTTGTCGAAACAAACGACGCCGTTTCCTTACTTTTACTATCACTGATTGCCCATAAACCTCGCAAAACTGTCTATTGTTTTTTGCTAAAAATAGATATAACTAAAACGAGCATCACAGTTGGCGCGATTATTTATTCTACCACTTGTTGTAAATTGGCATACGATAAATGCCGTATTACGAAACAAACTTTGCTTAAGAAACATGCATAACATATCCTATTAAATCCCCTAATAATACAATATATCTCCTCCTATGTAATGACGTATCCAACAACCCTTCGCCATTCCAAAAAAAAAAAAAAATTACATTCTTTCAACCAATCAGAATCCAAACAGAATCTCCTCTTATCTATCACCTCCTCCTTTTAATCATTTCTCAGAAACGAAAAAGAAAAAACGAAAAAAGTGCCTCGTAGTAGACTTGTCAGAAAATCCCGAGTCACGTAACGAATAGAAATAGTGGGAGGATCGCTTCCGCGTCGACTCTTTTAGAAGCGGCGTGTGCAACAACGTGTGTCGGCCCGTGATCGGGATCCTCTTCTTGTTTGCGCCGCGCAAATATCGCCTCGACGCCCTGTGCCGACATGCATCGATGCATCACCGCTCGGACACGCGGCCTGCAAGGACGCATCGACATGCCCCGCCAACAAATAATTGCCAACCGGTGGTTGGTTGGATTCGCAACAACAGCGTTTGACTCTGTTGCGGAGGAACCGGTCGCTTTTCCCGTCGAGCCGCCGCCCGTTTTAAATTCGACACCGAGGGGCCGGGGTTCTGGAACAGGTGTACCAATTTGGCCAGATCGAGAGAAGGGATCACGGGATAATAAGCAAATCGTTTGATCCCGATACGATCTGGACGGCGAGATGTTAAACCGTTTCGAGAAGTGTGAATGTTTTAGGTGTTGGGGCGTTATTTATACGATAAGATAAGAATTGATTGCACGAGAATATTTTGGGGAGAGGAGGAAAAAATATAAGATGAGCGTGGAGTAATTTTTTTTAAAATCGGATTGTATCGGATTTTATTCGAAGAATATAAAAGGTAAAGGGAAAAAGTGAAATAATAACAACAAGAAGTTTTTAAAATGGATTTATGGAATTGTAAGGTGAAAAAAGGATTGATTTCGCGCAGATAGTTGTTAAAATTGACGTCATTGGAGCGATATTTATTTAATCAGTTTATTTATCTCCGAACATCGAAGACTCGAGAGATTATTTACGTATCGTTCGAATACACGTAGTACACAGGTATCAAAATTCCTTGCCTATCCAAGTGGATGAGAACGAATTTCGAAGAGACGAGAATTTAATACGACTTTGCGTCAGTCACCGAAACCGATAGGACGTTGAAAGACAAACCTCGAAGGCGAAAACTGGCTTACACTTTCGGGTGTCATTCAAGGCATTTAACATTGTAGAGGCTTCTAAAAACAACCATAACCGAAGTGAGCAAGGCAAGAATAAAACGAGAGAGGATGTAGAAACAAGAAGGCGACGAGTTGAGTTGGGTCCAGCCGGTCATGGGCGAAACGTGTTTTGGAATCTCGCGTACCGATCATGGCGTCACGTTCAATTTGTCGTGCACGCGGCAAGAACATTGATAATGTAGATGATCGATTCCTAACCGAGCCGTGTTGTGTCGTGTTCAAGAAGAGTTTCGTCCTTGGAGAATGTGATCATATTAACGCTTCATTAAAAACGTCGCTCATACTCATTGAAATTTATCAAATCGCGAAATCCAAGATTCTTTGTCGTAATCTTGCAACGAGGCGCTTCTTTGTGCATTCATGGTATGAAAAAGGGGGATGAATGGAAGGAAGATATTCGTTTAAATCATAGCGACGATAAACTCGTTAGTTCGAAATTGGTGCAAATACTCGGACGATCGATGAGAGCACGTTTGAAGAGGAATAGCGAGCAGAAATTTAGAAATGCAAACGCAAAGAATATATTTTCTTGGTGATTGAGAAAGTATCAATGGGTCAAACGAGGCAATTGCAATGGAATAGATCCATTTGAACTGCTATTAAAGACTATCAAAGAGCGATATTGTCCTAGATATAAAGCTAAATATAATAAAGAATCTTCGTTATTCCCGCGTAAAATCAGCTAGCATATTTATATTTCTCTATTAATACTCTAACGAACGAATAATCTCATTCGTCGTGAGAATCGTTACCTCTTACGGGACAAAATAAAAATAGAAACTTTTTCGTGAAAAGACTCACGTTGACTTTGGCGAGATACAGCTCCAACTCCTTGTAAGGATCCATCTCCGATTTAGTTGGGATCACCATCTTCCCACTTTCATCACCACTTTCCACTATTTTCAACTGATTCACTGTTTTCGAGCTGGGTAAACCCGAAGCGACACTTCCTTTCGAGCCATCGACACGCAACAACCCGCCGCTGTCTTGTACGCTCTCCATGCTCTACTGTCACCTTGACCTCACGCGCATTTTCTTCTGCACCTGTAACAGAGATCAACTCAACTCATCAGTGCGTTGTTGAAACGAGTCGATAACGCATGCAAGAAAAGTTCGCACATCGATACAACTTTCAATTTTCGGGTCACCGTGGGTTATCGAAACTGGGTATCGTGGCGCCATGTAAGTAAGTATAACGTCGTTATCGTTTCGTAATTATGTCGCTGTCTGGCCTATATCTTCGACCGACTTATTTTCCAAACTTTTACGACAAGTATTATCGAATATCCATAACAAGTCGAGAATGAATATTCAAATCTTGGCGAAACAAACAACGCGAAAATCGCTCAATCGTCGAGTGATTTATACGCCTTTCCATCTTCCCTTTTGATTCGTATTTGCTCTTCGAAATGGGCCGATAATTAATATCATTATCGCTCAAGGTACGAATCAACGGTTGAAAGAGGAGAACAAAAGGAGAGAAACCACCTCTGTGGTGGTGGTTACCTAGAGGCAAAAGGATTATAATTAGCCCTAGTAGTAGTGTGACTCACTGCTGGCCACGGGGCTCGTGTAGCGGCGGCTCGTATAATCCCGGCTTGTCAAACACTTGAAAAGGGTAAAATGGCCACCTGCGCTGTTATGATTGCATTTGGATAAATTTAGCAGAACCGTTCGCCGTTAGTCACCGGGGCTAATTATATTTTCGCAGATATCTCGCGTTTCGGCGAGAAGGCTAATCTGAAATTACCTCCGCGGTTTCCACCCCTTTACGCTCCCCCTTCTCGTCTCACTTTACTATTAGACTAGCCATTAACGCAACCATCTCCTGCTGCTCCTCTGCTTAACCTCGACAATCGAGTTTCGTAACACGAGTTTCGATCCACGAAGAAACTACGGCACAGCCTGTTGTTGGTACACACGTGGATTTCATAAGTATTTTGAAACCGTTTCACTCGTGCGAAGTCACGTTGATTTCTTTTTCTTTTCGGCTGGCTTTCACGTTGACACAAACGGTTTCGAACAGTTGTTACTTTGTCGATCGTCCATAAATACGTATTATCAGAATTTATGTATTTTGTGTTTATAAGAAACTCGACTCTTAACGAACGAAGGAACTTAGAAATAGGTAAGTGGACACGCAACATCGAAAATTTGTTGTAGACACAACAATGTCAGATTTCGTTCGATCGTGTTACGCGAATTTAATCCACCAAGCGGATCACTTTTGATATTTCATATCCGAATCGATGATGCCAATGCTTACGCGTAAGATACGTGAAAAACGAGGCCACCAGATTGGTCGAGCGAGGAGGTTAAAATTTAATTATAAATCGTATGCAACCGTATCGTCTCAAACTCGAATAGTTTCGAATATTCGGCAAATGGATCGACGAATAATTATCAGAGTTCAGCGTTCGTTTTGTAAAGTTCAACGGATCTCTATCATCGGTGGCCTGAATCACGATCGAATCTATCGGTGAGATCGTGTGTGTCGATTGTGCCGAGTCAAGTGGGATATACTTATAGGACATGATACGACTGCCGTTTCATTCAGCGAGGCCAGTCCAACAATAAAGTCATGCATGAGAACACGAGTCGGTTCGCGAGGCGCAGACGTAATATTAGAAAATCGCCGGATGTCTGGATCGCAACAACCTGTCGGCACCCAATATGTCAGGTGATTTCACAGGTGAATGATGATGCTCGCGCAACGTCACACCGATTTCACGAGAAACTCGGCGGTAATCTGGTCCAACGCGTAACAAAATCTGCTTTCAACCGAGATGAAAAGAAATAATATGAATAAATATGAAAGTTACGATACGTATTAGGTAATTCGAGATTTATAAATAAGTTAATGTTATTGACACTAGACGAGTAATTGTGTACGCGCTTTGAATTTTTCACGAGATAAAATTAATTAGTTTGATTTCTAAAGTAATTGATTACTGTTATTAATAATTCTGTTTTACGTAATATATTATACAAGTGTATAGATTATAATGGATTTTATATATGGATCATCATTTTGAGAAAGCTTAAAATGCTTAAAATTACTTTTTAAAATACGCTAAAACGAGGGATATGATCCATCATACGTTTTATTTTCACAGCGGATGAATTTTTTTATAAGAAAGCGAGGTACGAAGATTTTTGCGATCGATGACTATGTATGACACTCCGTTGTGCGCGAAGATTAATCGATTAAAATCGTTTCGTTTATTCAAAGAATTTTCTTCCCCTTCTAATACAATATTCGCGATAATTATCGAGCATGAGTTGGCGAAAATCTTTAGCAACGATAAAGATGTTAACAACAGCTATAAAAACACCTATTTACCTTTGCCGCGTGAATGGCACGAAGTCGATTTATTAATAGAAAAATCCGCGTAAAATTGAAACGCGAGGATAGAGAATCGAATCATTATATAAATTATACTTTCGACCAGATAATTCGCACTCGTGTGACAACAAATACCATCTCGCTACTCCACCGTAGTAGAACTAATCGATCCACCAACTTTTGATCAAGGGTTGTGCTCGGGCAGCGATCGAAGATAGCGGTAATAATATATCCTAGAAAGTGATGGTGGCACAAACGAAAGAGAAGAGAGAATAATTCTTGTGATGCTGCGTTACATTATATAAAACGTGAAAACTTGGACGTATCGTCATTCCATCCGCGTAAAATTGAGACATTGAATCACGGCTAATTAAAAATACGTGTAGATAATTAAACGAGCCGACACAACGTGACTGCGTACACGTTTCTAGTAGTATCTACGCATCGTTGAGAGGCAGACCACGTTCGAGTCGATTCCGCAAAACAGCGATTAGCCATGCACTCGCCGTTGTGTATGTGTCTGTCGGGTCCTATGACAGTCCCTGTTAACTACATGTGACGCCGGTAACACAACATATTTAATTAATTTTTATGCAACGATTTAAACACACGTTGAAATGCCAAGTCCGCCTCGTTTCTTAGATCTTGTTTCTCGATCGACGTTGATTTATTAGGGGGAATACGATTAGTGGTGTCTTGCTTCTAATACGTATATATACATATATTTCGAGGAAAATAAAAAGAGAAGGGGATAGAAAAGTAAAATAAATAAACAAGAATAAAAAGAATTGGAGAAACTGGCGCTTGAAATCTTTGTCTGTCCCCGGTTTCGGGCGCCGCTTTGGCGCTGTTTCTCCCAGACATTTGCAACCAACACAAGTGTTCCTCGACGATCTTGGCCGTCCAGGTGTGAAGTCTCGCGGGATCCATGCAAATTATCCAGCAGTAATTTCTAACCGACACGGGGGACACGCGTCTCGAGGCCGTTTTAATCGAGTCTGATCAACCGGCCGTGGTCGAGAATGGCATTCGATCGGGGTGAGGTATCGATGCATCGGTATCGAAACTATTTGCCAAGCATTCGGACGCCCCTCGCCTCTCTGTCGCGAGCCACGAATTCCCACGTCCCACGCCGTCTCGGTGACAGGCGGTTGTCGAATGGAATTTCACTTGTCGGCCGCGTTCTCTCGCGGGACGAGGTTGATTGGAAAGAATTAAGAGGAATTGTTGGATAACGATTAACATGATTAATGGGTCTTCGTTTTCCATCTAATTTCGTCCTACAATTTTCATCGTTTTCATCAACACTTTTCCATGTTTTTGATGAATGAATGAATTTAAAGAAACGAAATTCAATTGCAGTATAAGAAACGATTTATTAATTTTTATTATATACTTCTGTGGCCAGCCAATTCTCCCGATATGAATATCTAATTGAGAACGTTTCAAGTTGGTACAAATCATCATGCATTGACATACATTGACGCAGTATATTGTCCCAATAACGTTTGATCCAATTTTCTTTTGGTTTCAAACGGCTTTGAAAGAAGATGTATGAATTATTATGCATTACATGTACGTTTGTCTTTGACGAAGAAATTTTCTAAGTGTATTTTTTAAATAAGACAAAAGAAAAGCCCGAATTTTTCATATAATTCTATTCGTTCTTTCGTTCATAATTGAATACATCATTTCAAGTCAAAATAAAAGTTATCTTTGAACGATCGATTACTATTGAACGAAGTTTCATTTTTCTTTTTCTGATTGACGAAGCAATCGATAAGAAATATTATTCGACTTTTATCTGTTCAAATATCAATTTATACAGCAGATAGAAAGTGTTTTAATTATCGCGTCGTATAACACACTGATTGTCGGAATGGAAACACGTTTAATCGCAGGTGTTGTCACATGGACATTCTAAACAGCCCGAAGAATGAACGAGTTTGTGGTCACCTGGGTTTGCACACCTGTACTAGAGCTTACCTCCTCCTCGCGAAGGAATATCGCGAAAGATCAAGTGCACGATTTTATTTCTAGACGCAGAAAAAAATTCGTAAATAGGAGAAAAGAGTGTCATCACGCTGAAGAATGTCGAATAAAGATACGATTCATTATGGTAATTGCCATAAAACTTGCTAAGCGCTCTTTTAACGACACCATTCGAAATTTTCCTGTTGTAAATTTTAATTATACTTTCGTTTCACTTTACGATCACCATGAAGAAATTCTCTTAACTTATCATTTACCATTTCCCTCGAACGTACAAAATGCATAAATCTATATTCAAATAAAGAGAAGGGAAAAGAAAGGAGAATTTATCTGTCCGCAAAACAGTGCCAAAAGAGTAGAGTGCGAATTTGTGATTCCACTCCTTGCACAAGAACATTTCCAAGCGCGTGTACAAAGCGTGCCAATAAGCGGGAAAATTTTTTCTTTACATCGGTCGCCACAAAAATCCACGACAAAATACTTCCTCCCCGAGTTTGAATGCGAAATATTACTGCTCGCCGTAATTCCATTCGCGATACCTCTATCAAAGCTATTTAAATAGTCGTTCATTGCTGACCTATCGCCGGCCACAAATTCCCACGTCCTACGCCGACATTGTCAAGCGGACACCGGCGGTAATTTCGCCGGCAATTCCTCCGGACCGTGCAGGTAACGCGGAACAACGATCTCTCTCTTTCTCTCCCTC